AGGGCCAAGTCTTCGTTCCGATGAGCTTGTCCCCTTTGCTGCTTTTTGGAGCTAATAATTACACTTGCCAAGTAAACTGGGGAACTTTTCAGTTAGTATTTCTTATAAAAATAGGAAATTTGAGGTATCTGCCCCTTTTTAAACAGTGAAATTGAAAGCTATTGAGATAGAGAAATTGACCTGTGATTCTGTGGTAAATTTATAGTTATATAAAATTAGCATACTAAGCTAAGTGCTAAGTACTTCCTTGAGACCCAAGACAGTAACCTTTTGTTGCTAAGCTTTTCCTCGGCATTGACTGTACCTACTCTATTTCTTTGGGAGGGGGCACCAAGGAGGAGAGGTTGTGAGGTTTCCCAGTCCCTATCTGGTGTTTCAGGCAGGAGTGTCCTGTGAGAAGCTGGCCCCTTGTCAGTCAAGGACAGTGGCAGTGGAACACTCCCCTGGGTGTATGTGGAAGGGGTTTCCCAGTTTCACTTCTTTTTACTTGCACCATTTTTAATGTGGCAGATGGTCTCAGTGGTTACTAGCCTGGGGTTTTCAGTTGTGAGGCAGTTCACATCAGTCTGATTTATCTCCTAAGGGTGATCCCCCCTTTTATGGGCTATCTATAAATAAGTAGTTTTGAGGGGTTTCAGTCTTGTATACTTTTGAAGTGATTAAAATTGCCTTCTCAAGATTGTATTTCATAATTTTTACTTCTAAAAAATTAAATTAAGAGTTTCATGAATGAAATTGTTGAAATACAAATTTCACTGTTTTATTCCCAGTCCTGGCCAGGCAGGAGGGGAAGCAGACAAGCAGGCACAGGAAGAGCATGAAACATTCCACTGACCGGAGGAGGAAACTGTAGTTTGCGTGTGTCCCTAGGACTTAATTTTTATGTTTGGTTAAATAGCTCTTCTTAAGCCAAAATCTCTGTCCTGTCTTCAACCAAACCTTTTCATTCTCATCAAATCCTCTGCTAGGTTTTTCCAGGCTACCCTTAACCTGGATCCTAAGGAATTGCTCATTGGACCTTTGTAACTGTTCTTAGTTGTTTGACTCTGTTCATTCACTAAGTCATTCATAAATTTATAGTTAGCTGAATTCCATGCTTTGTTTGCTTTTCTGCTTCTGTCAGTAGGAAGAGTTCCATCTCCATGTCCGGGCCTTTTTCTGTACAAGACTGCTGTTCAGGCGAGGGTTCCTTTCTCAGGTCTCTGTTACCACTGTGTATCTGCAGTAGAATGGTCCCTCAGCTGATGCCTTGTCACATAGTATTTGACTTTTTAAAAAAATTGTTTCTGTTTTGAATAATTTTAATTTTGTGGAAAAGTTGGAAAGACCATACAGAATTCCCAGATATCCTCACTCCACTTTGGCGGATGTCAGCCTTCCTGCTAGCTGGTACAGAGGTCACAGCTAAGAACCAGCCTTGGTGGAATACTACGACCTTACTGTGCACTTATCAGTGTCTTGCTAAATTGTCCAGGCTGGCATTGAACTTGGATCTTTTTGCCTCAGGCTCCCAAGTAGGTAGAATTACAGGCATTTGCCACTGTACCTCATTCATGATGAGTTTTAATAGGGGGAAGGATACTAGAATTCTGGAAGTTGAAGAAAGCTTAAAGAGACATTAGAGTTTATGTTGGATGCTGGGCAGAATGAGTTGGTAGCTGGGCAGGTCATCTGGCTCTTCCTTGCTGGCTGTGACTCAGGAGATTGGGGTGGAAAGATGAACAGAAGTGGGGCAGGTGAGCTCCTCCTACCTTTGCTGTGGGGGTGACTCTTGTTTGTTCATGGGTGTGATTCCATTATCTTTTGTTTCAGGATGTTACTGTAGTTCTAGCAGTCAGCTGTTTGTTTAAAGATGTGTGTACTTTTAGGGAGGATTAAGGTATTGTTACTTATTTGCAAATTAGAGGTGTAGTGAATTATTAGCTGTTAGGTGTCTATTTGTTGTAATTTTTTTGAGACATGGTCTCACTACATAGTTTAGGCTGGTCTTAACTCACAGTGATCCTCCTGCCTCAGCCTCCTAACCACTTAAGTTTTTTAAATGCTAACCTGAGATTTAATGTTGTGAATAAGCAAGGATTCTGTTAGAGACGGGAAAGATGACTGAAGAGCTCCACACGCCACTTTGCTTTATAGGCTCTACTGGTTGTTGGACAGAGTGAGACTGCATGTTACTTATAGATAGTTTAAGGAATCTTTGGGGACCCACAATGACAGTTTTTACATCTTAATGCTTACCAGTGTCAGGTACTAAGCTTTGATACAAAAATGCATACACTGTTGTCCTTGTCCTCTTTAGAGAGGCAGACCTGTAAAAGATTTTGTCCACAGTGCTGTAGTACAGAAATGACCAGAGTGTGGGCTCTCAGGAGTTTGTCAGCTTTTTATTAGTTTTGCCATTTAAAATGTTTTCAAAGCACAGTTCTACCACCCTGATGAAACTATGTTGGTTTTTGTTTTTTCCTTTCTACAGTGTTACATATTGGTGAATATACCATATTGCATTCTAAAATGATTTGTTTGACAAGTGGGTACCTCCATAGAAGTTACCGTAATCCTTTTTTATGCTTTAAATATATTTTTTACCTCTGGTGAGGACAGGATTTTTTAGGCTCTGTTTCCTGGCATGAGGTTATTGGGTTCAACAATATGATTATTTTACAGCTCTTGAAATATATTGCTTACTGTTTCTCAGCACTCAAAGCATTACTTGAAAGCTGACAGGTGAGACCTGGCCTCTGTTGATGCCCAGACTATAATCCTCCTTGATCCCAGGTGGAGCTCATTGACTCCCTCTGCCCTGGGGATGTTCACGCGCCTCTGCACCTTTGCACTAGCTCCAAGCCTGCATGGACATGACACCTTGGAAACCTTCTCAGGGCCACCTCTTCCTTCAGGTCTTGGTTGAAAAGCCATTCCTCATGAGAAGTGTTTCATCCCCTCTGGTCCCTTCTCTCTTGGGCATTCTGCTCCACCTTATGAAGCTCTTGGCCAAGAAACTGCAGTGTAAGCAGTCAGGAGATAACCCATGATCATTTGGGCTCCTTAACCACAGAGGTTGTCGTGCCGTCAGCCTGTTTCCTAGAAGAAGGGGTTTCGTAAACCCCTCACTAATACAAATATGGAATGTGATATTGCCTGTGTTTTCCTTCTGGGCCACCTCCTACAAATCACATGAATCTTACGGCACACACAGTCATCCTGCCCTTTGTAGAATGCCTGGGAGGTGAAGGTGGGGGCAGGGAGTGGTGGGTGACTCACTGGTCTTTCATTTTAGGACCTCTTCTTTAGTACACAGATTTACTATTAAAGATGTCTGGAATACAGCCAGTAACTTTTAATGATTTAAAAATACTTTAAAACATTATTTTAAATACAAAAGTTCTATGTAGTAAAATTATTTTACGTATAGAACTTGGACTTAGGGATTACCATTTCTGGAAGTGGGAGAATGAAACTGCCTAATTTTAGATTTTTAAAAATTATTTTAACTGGTTTACATGGTTTTTTGATTTAGGGATAAACTGCTTTCTCTTATTCTAAGGAATAATATTTGATGAATTGGGTGTTTCATTTATTTTTTGTATTAAGTAAAATATTGGCACTTTTACCAAGAGAATTTATTTTTCCTTTAAATGTGTTTGTGTTGCCTCTTAGTGAGATTTCTTTATAACTAACATTCCAACATGATTTGATAACCACTTTTATTGTGAAAGTCAGAAATGACATTAAGTCTAAGTGATGTCCACTGGAATTTTCTAAGGTGATGGAAATGTCTGTGATATGAAGTGAGAATGTTAACTGCTGTTCACATGTGACCATTGAACGCTAGAACTTAATTTTGAATTTAAGTTAAAATTTTATTGAGCCAGGGATTTAGCTCAGTGGTGCTGCCGCCTGGCTTGCAAGCACAAGGACCGGAGTTCAGTACCCAGTACCAAGAAAAAAAAAAATTCAGTACAGTCACATATTAACACAGTTCGAGAGATTGCAGGTTAAGGCACATGAATATCTCTAATGCTTTGTGAAGAGTTAATTTTTCATTATTATTGCTTGATTTAATGTAAATTTCTGTCCTCTGAAATACCTTTATCTTTTGTAGAAACAAAAAAACTTAGGATTTTAGTTGGACTAATGAGCATGGGAAACAGCAGGAGAGAAATCCATGGTCTTGGATTTGAAATATTTTAGGAGAGCTTTGTGTGTGTGTGTGTGTGTGTGTGTGTGTGCGCGCCTTTGGGTATATTTCTAGGTCTAGGGAAACTTCAAAGGACTTGAAATTGGAGCTGGTCTGGGTGTTCCACGGTGGGAGTTCATTACAAGGAAAGAAACTTCTGGTTACATTTTTCATCACTGAAAGGACAGGTGATTTAGAACTAACCCAAATGGTAGTCCTGGCATTGTGTGGGGGACACAGGACAACAAGTGGCAGTTATTTTTAGGATGAGCATGTATACCCTTACATCACCCTGCACTTCCTGCCACAGAGTGTAGAACTATTGGACACATGAAGCGTGATGCTTGATCTTTACTATTTTTTTAAATCCTTCTGATTATTGTACCTACTTGATGACACGTTTGATCTGCTTGTCTAGCTTGCTCCGAACATGGGTGGCTTCTCTGTCTCCCTTCTTTTCACTATTTTCCATCTTTGTCTTTCCTCATCTCTCTCTCTTCTTCAAATCATTGTCACAGGGCTAGCCGGCTCTGTGTATTTTCAGCAGAGTGGTCTTTGAATTTGACAAGAATGGAAAATTAGTTTGCAGTCTGGCTGGCAACATAAGTTACTGACATAAGGTGACTTGAAATCTGACTTCCCACTCAGTTTCCCTGGTGGTGCAATGTGCCACACACCTTGTTATGGCACTTTTTGACTGTTTGGTTTTCTTGGATAATGTTCTTTTCTAACTTTTCCATTTCTGTGTAAGCAAGTCTGCTTGTTAGGCCTGATGCTGTGATTTTGTCATACACCTGATGAAGTTTTCTTCTCGTTTGCGTAGGTTGCACAGAGCATTGAGGATCACCATCAAGAAGTGATTGGTTTCTGCAGAGAGAATGGTTTCCATGGCTTGGTGGCATATGACTCTGATTATGCACTGTGCAACATCCCCTACTACTTCAGTGCCCATGCCCTAAAACTGAGCCGCAACGGGAAAAGTCTTACGACAAGCCAATATCTGATGCATGAAGTTGCCAAGCAGCTGGACCTGAACCCAAATCGTTTTCCCATTTTTGCTGCTTTGTTAGGTAGGTAGAGCAGTGTGAACATATTGGCTTTTGAAGTTATTTCAGTGCTCAAATGTTTTGATTGTACATCTTGAATTTAAAAGAACCAAGGAATGGCCTCTACCTTAGCATTCTTGGAGGTATTTTTTGGTATACTTGATGATGTACTGATTTTGTTCTGGAGCAGTTTATTTATATATCATTCTATCTGGGCTGAAAAACTAATCTTGTGAGTAAACTCAAAGTTTTGGAGAAATAGCATTTCTAAATCACATGTGTGTTAACACATGCCCACTATGAAAACTAGACAGCCTTTAGCATGATTGTAACAGAAGAAAATACAGTGTGGAGTTAGCCATGTAGTATTCTCCCTCACATTCCAGACACTCACTAGTTTACGAGAAAAATAAAAATAAACTATTTTAAGTGAATGTGTAATTTTTTAGAATATCCATTGGAGGAATTCTTTATGCTTCATGCCAGTCTTGTTTTACTTAATCTCCTTTATGTACTACGTTTCTGAGAGGCACTGTGCTCCTCTTCCACGTCCCATCTGCCCTGTATATTTTCTGTCTTTGCTGTCTTGTCAGCCACCTCTTCTGTGCTTTCATTGTGCATGTCACAAGCTGATTTAATACCCAGCTATAACTTGCTGAGTTTCTAATAATTGTGTTCAAAGATAAGTAAATATGTTTGAGTGAATTACTCCTGTGATGAGACTCCGATTCTGGTGGGAGGTGGGGTACATTTGGAGGTGGCTTGGTCTCCAGCAGAGTTACTGTGGTTGCCCTTATTTTGTATCCTGAGAATCTTAGCAGTCCTTACCTGGCCTGCTTGAGAGGGCAGTTATATCGTGGGTCATTGCTAAAAATCCCTAGTTATCAGAAAGATTTCTGTAAAAATTCCAAAAAGTTTTCTTACATAAGAAATCATTTAACAAAACTGATTTCACAAGTTAATTATAGGGATCTAATTTCAAATTTAGTTTCTTAGGGAACTCTTGTGACTTGGGATTTGGAAGATTATAAATTAATGTAAATATATTTTGAAATATTAAAATATAAAAGGATACTTTGTCTGTTAAAAGTGAATCCTGTGGGTGAGTGCTACATTATGTTCTGTGTTTGCTTGGGTGTTAATGCAAAATGGCTTCTTCATATTCATTGACTTTCAGTGAAATATACTTATACTCTTAGAACATGGAGGCCTTAGTAAATTTGAAATGTGGAAGAATACTTGATTTTCTTATTTGAAAGGTATTGAATACATTTCTAGGAGATAATGCTAGCTCATTCTTTTCTAGTGATTATATTGTGAAATTTTGAAATAAATGAAAAACAAAGTAATAATATTTTATGAAATTAATTTAGGTTTTAGAATCTCATATAGTTTAGGCAAGGAATCTGCTTGCTATATGTTGTTTTATGTTAAACAGTGAAGAAATATTTTCCTTTGCTGTTTGGAAGTTGTATGAAATGTGTCAACAAACTTGGAAGTTGTATGTGATACATAAATAAACATGCAGTGATTTGGAAGTTTTCCTTGTGTCACTTAACAATGATTGCTTATCCACATTTATGTAAAGTTATCTACATTTATGTTACAGGAAATCACATACTACCTGATGAAGATCTGGCTTCCTTTCATTGGAGTTTACTTGGTCCAGAACATCCACTAGCCTCACTGAAGGTACACACTTTAGTTCATTTCCAGCATTTATAATAACCGTTGATTTTGCTGTTACTTTAATATGTTATGTTCTTTATGATGGAAGGAAATGTGCTAGTAAGCAAGCAGTGTTGTGTTTCCCCTCTCAGATACTGCGCTTAGAAAACATCTTTCCTTCCCTGTTTCTAACACTGGTATGTTAGATAAATGTATAAGTCCTTTGAGAATTGCCTTTGTGGAATGCTATGTATGTGTGTAAAAGGAAACGTTGGAGTTGAAGTTTTTATATATTAATTTTTTGAATAGGTAATGTGGTTGTCACTTAGACCAACATCTTTTAGATGAGAAATTTCATAATGATCTACAACTATAAAATAGTGGAATGCTTTTTGGATGGTGGGAGAGACCCAAGTTCATTAGAGAAATGGTCCATTTGTGTTGTTTTATTAACGCTTAAAATGCTTTCCTACCTTTCTTGCTTTTGATTGCTGCCATGTGCCACAATAATGAACTTCAGAAGGGCTCTTTGCTCTGATTTGCTGAAGTGAGGAAGTTTATGTGCTTGATGTGAGCATCATACTAATGAGTGAGATTGGTATGAGCTACCAGGATACTAGAGCTTGCACTTTATAGTGACGTCTGTGATTGTAATTGTCACTTGTTAGGCACAAGTGCCCTTCATGACTTGAGGAATTGGGAAAGTAGACTTGAACTTTCAGTCTGCTTTCAGCTCTGGGGCTAGCTTCTGTGTAGTTGAAGGAGTGTAAAGTGAACAGTTTCCAGAGTTTTCCCTGTAAACTTCTGGTTGAATCATCCTCTCTCTATAACTCTTTATTTGGTGTCTAGTTCTAAGTTAGTTTTTCTTGCTACATTTTAATTTATTGTTTGTTGATTCTTGAAAGTTCAAGCAAGAATTCCTTTAGTCAGTTCTTTCATTTTGTCCCTGGCTTTTGAAAACTCTTCCTTCTTCATTGCTTATTGGTGTGCTATAACATGTTTTCCTTTTTACTCTAATACATTGTAATTCTTGGTTAAGACTGTTTTCCACTTCTGTTTGAAAGTTTTCCTCTCTTGTTAGACATTACAGTACTTGCTTGCTTTTTTTCCTCGAAGGAAGGGGCTTTCTATTTGCTTTTTATGGTAGAGTCCCTCCTTTTTGTTCTCAGGCATGAAGTGATAGAGCCGAAATCATTTGCCGAAGCTGTGTTGTACTGTGATGGAAATGCAGGCTGGGGAAGTGCATTCTGTGATCCACTGGGTTTCAGAGTACTGTGCCTATTAGTGCCTATTAGATCTGTTAAGTGTTAGGCTTTTTTTTTTTTTTTTTTTTTTAAGGGGATTGAAACCTGGAACCACTGAGCTAAATCCCTGGCCCAAGTGTTATGCTTTTTTAATTAAGGCTTGCTTCTTGGAATTGTTTTAAAGGACATATAAGGCCGCAAGTCATAGCATGTCTCATTTGAACTGTCCTTGCATCATGTGTCTCAGACCTAGAAGTGAAGAGCAATTTGAAAAATTACTAGAAAATCAGCTCAGTTTGTAACAGTAGTATTGTGTGTTTTTTCTAAATTCTTGAAGAAAACGTTTAATTATATTAAATGTTGAAAGGAGAGTAAAGTATTTATCTATGTATCCACTGTCTTGCTTCAGTAATTGACATTTTACTCCGAAGTACTGTATATGGCTATGTCTTGTTTTGTTTTAATTCAGCTACTTACTTAGAAGTAAGTTGCAGCAGCTGGGCATGGTGGCGCACCTCCGTAATCCCAGCACTCAGGAGGCCGAGGTAGGAGGATTGCCACAAGTTTGAGGCCCGTCTGGGCGGCTACATAGTGAGTTCAAGGCCTGCCTAACTGCATAGTGAGACCCTGTCTTTTTGTTCCGGGTTTCAAACTCTGGACCTTACACTCGTGAGGCAGGCAGCAGAACTACTGAGCTAGGTCCCCAGCCTGCGACCCTGTCTTAAAAAAAAGAAGTTACAGATGTCATAACATTTCACCTGTGAAACTTCACTTGTATCACCACCACCTAAAAATGAGGACATTCTTAAAATCTTAATACTTTTATTTATTATTATATCACTTAAATAACAATTCCCTACTATGAATTTGAATGCCGAGTCCCTATTCAGATTTTTCCAGTTTTTCCCTGATATTTATAGTGTTTTTAAGTCAGTATCTAATTAATATGCATTGTTATCATGTGTATTTTTAAATTAGCTGAATAGTTTTATGGCATAATGGAGAAGCAATTCAAAATAATTTTTCCAGTTACTTGATAACTTTTGGGATCTTAGCAACATTTTAAAATACAATCATACTAACTTTGAGATGAGTTCAGAATTTCCATCTGTTAGGTGGGTGTGGTGGTGCCTTCATGTAATTCCAGTTATTCAGGAGGCTGAGGCAAAGAGGATTGTGGAAGCAACCTAGTGAGACCCTGTCTCAAAATTTAAAAAGAGAAAGAAGAATAAATTGTGTTTGTTGGCCACATTCATTCATTCATTTATTTATTTTGCGGCATGGGGGGTTGAGCTCAGGACTGTACTTGCCAGGCAGGCATGGCACCACTGACCTACATCCCAGCCCCGCGTTTATGTTTTGACCTTATTTTTGTACACACTTTCTTTGTGCACTAATGCTTTAACAATCTTAATGTAGATGTAAATGGAATTGATGTGATTTATTTTCTACTCTGAGTATTATTGGTGTGAAGACTTGTTTGTTTGTTTTTTTGGTTTTTTTTTTTTTTTAGATAACGTCTTACTATGTAGATGTAGTTCAAGCTGGCCTTGAACTCACTATGTAGCCAGGATGGCCTCAAGCTCATGATAGTCCTACTTCAGCCTCCTGGAGTGCTAGGATCAAAGGTGTGCACTACCATGCCTGCCCTCCTTTGTTTTTAATCTGCTATTTTAGTCTTTCTCTCCAGTTATTCTTAGAATTTTAATTGATTTTTAAAATTGGTATTTAGTTTCAAATTGGAGTTTTACTACATGCATTTTAATTTACTTTTAATTTTTTTGATTGCTGAAGGTTCAAATAGAATTCCTCTGACGCTTCTTTCATTTGGTTCCTCACTGACACACCCTTTACTTTTTGTCTCTTACTGGTGTGCTACATGTTAAGAGGTGTTTTGAAGTGATAGATAGTAAGTTCATTTAATACCATCGTTCTGGTAGTGTAATTTCACATTTGACTATGGCACAACTCTATAAATAAAATATGATCAAAGGAATGGGTCAAGAAGGCTCAAACCTAAGAACAAAAAACTAGCTATCTGTATTTAAAAAACAAAGCCAGTAAAAATCCCAAGAGTTTCATCTTTTTACAATCCAGTGGAAAAAAATAAAAATATTGGGGATGGAAAATCATCAGTACTCTTAAATTTTGTGTGGTTCAGAAACCCTTATTATGTTGATGACACTATGAATTTTTTTATTAGTGTATACATGGCATTCTTAGACGTGTGTGTGTGTGTGTGTGTGTGTGTGTGTGTGTGTGTGTTGCTGGGGATTGATCCCAGGCCCTCATGCATGCTCTCCCACTGAGCTATACCCATACCTGTGGACTCTTTAAACGTAACTTTACCTTTTCACCATGTGCATTGCATACATTCACTGTGAATTTTTACCTCTCAGCTGTGAGGTTGCTAATAAAAACCATGAGATCATCCCTCATTGCCCATAGCTTTCACCTTTCTACGAAAAGAGTAGTGTATCTGCTTTTTTTTTTTTTTGTACCGGGGATTGAACTCAGGACCTTGCCCTTGAGAGGCAGGCACAGCGCCACTGAGCTAAATCCCCGCTCCTATCTACTTTTGAATACGTGGGATGAAATGCACAAAATGTGATTGGGGAGAACAGCTGAGATGATTAAGTGGGATAATACCTGCAAAGATGAAAGCTAGGAAGGGAGCAAAATTCTGTTTTGTGCTGGCTTATTATCTAGTGGATCATGCTTATTACTAGATTATGAATTCAAAGCTGGATATGTTTTGGACTCCAGATGTCAGAAGGCAATACAAAGTAGAGTGGTTAGTAAAGTTTTATACTTGTTAATACAGTGTTAAGAGCTGCTAGTAAAGTGTGCATCAAGTATTTTAGCCCTGTTCTTCCAAAGTCCTGGTTCTTGAGCTCACTTGCTACAGGCTTGGAAGCCCTGTGGCTGGGCTAGACCTGTGACCAGGGAGCTGTGCAGCAGGAGGACACAGATCAGGTTGGAGCTGGGGTCCAGGGGCTGAGGGCAGATTCATTGCTTTAGGTGAGTGACTCAGTTCTACTGGCTGTAGAAGCTTAAAGTTTTGGTTATTTGAAATACTAGGAATATATTCTTCATATTCCCTGTTTCTAACCAGTGGACAGTTCTCACTTAAATGCCTCTAGTGGATGTATTTCTAAAAATGATCGTAGACTTAATAAGGAAAATAAGTGGAACATCCTTTCTGTATGCTTTGTGACTCAGCGTTGTAGTTATGAAGAACTCTTACTGTATGCATGTATTTTGGCCTGCTGTGGGTGTTAAGCTGGGCTGCTGTGCCCATTTGGGTGATCTTCATGGGGCAGAATGTTCTGTAAAAGTCACAGCAGGCCTTGAGTAGCCCTGTGTTCCAAGCTCAGTGAGCAGTTCACAGGCCTTGACATCCCCAGACTTGACCTATGCCTGCAGCCCCTTCAGATGGTGGCCCTTGCTCCTGCCTGTGCCCTGGTGGTAGTCTAGATTGAGGATTAGTGATGTGTATACAACTCGGTGTGGCAAGCACCACAGAGGGGTTGAGGATCCAGGTGTCAGCCTGGCACAGGGACCCCTGGCCATAGATACATGATGAGTGCTTTTTAATAATGCTCTTTTAAAAAATTGTTCTTTAATTCTGTATTATAAATTGTTAGGGGAAAGTTTTTATTTGGGATGAGCATTTTGTTTTGATTTTTTTAAAAAAGAAATTTGTAGGTGTTTGCTGGCTTTAATTTAACTTTATTTAATGTAATTTCTTGTTGCCACTGGATTTCTTAAATCTTGGGC